TGTTGATCATTCTGCCTTTGGAATTCGGTCAAGCCACGCAGACAGCTATGCGGGGGAATGGGAAACACAGGCCCGGCTTGCAGCCCTGGCTGCCGAAGGGTTTCGGGTTTTGAAGGTTTTCGGGTTTAGGGTTTAGGGTTTGGGGTTTGGGGTTTGGGGTTTAGGGTTTAGGGTTTAGGGTTTAGGTTTGGGATATTCCGGGCCGGGTGTCGGCACGTGACACAGGTTTGGATATGCTTCGCTGGACCTTCATGATGACACAGGCACAACACTCAATTGGCCCAATAGCCAAAAGCCAGGAGCCAACAAAACAACGTTTGCTAGGCGAACGCATGCTCTTTGAAAATTTTGCTTGTCCTAACTTCCGCTCTCCAGCGAAGTATCCAACTTCAAACGTTCCAGGGAAAATTGGTCTCCAAGCGCAGTTGGCGATGGACAGCCGAATCCAGCCCCTGAGTAGTGTGGAGGGTGCCTGCCAAACAAAGCCCTCTTGCATCCTAAGCCCTAAACCTGCATTCTAAGCCCTGAAACCCTCAAGTACGCGCCTTTTTATTAAGGGGAGGTTCAGGGTTCAGGAAGGGCTTTGTTCAGAAGTGAGCCCTGTCTGTTCATATATACGACTTGTGGATGGCAGAAGTAATCACGGAAACTGAATAATACAGGGGCCTTACAAAATAAAAGCAGGTTTTGTTTTTTTTTTTTTTGGGGGGGGGTTATGATGTTATTATAGCATAGTTATCAAGGAACCATAAGGGAATACTGTTAATAATTATTCCGACCCCGATGGTGCGGCCATGGCTTTGGACCTGCGTACTCCAGATGCGAAAAACTGAGGCCCTAAACCGAGAACCCTACAATAGCATGGACCAAATGAACCCAAAAGGGCTTATGGTTCATACACCTTACTAGGGATTCAGGACCCCCAATAGGGTTCCTAAGGGCTTAACCCCCAGAAGGGTTCCTGTGGTCTCCAAGGATGTGCTTAAGCGGTACGGTACATGCATGGGCCGAAAGGCACTGTATGGGAAAGACTTCACATTGCGCCCAAAAAAAGTGCCCAATATGAATAGTATACACTTGGGCACTGCAGGCACTATGCAGTCAGTTGTCAAAATGATGGTCCCTTTTTGGGTACAAACCCTAAACCCTAAACCCTAAATATTAGGGGCCGCCTTATAATGGCAACCCAAACGGCCCGAAAGGGACCAACAATTTAGAGTAGTCACCCTGCAAAAGCCCTGCGGCCCAAGCCCTGAAGTTCATAAATCTATCAATCCTAAAAACCCCAGCTTTTGTGAAAGCTTCACTTATATACCTTGACAAAGGGGAGGTGGCCACACCAATCAGGGTTTTTCATGTGTGCGAAGCTCTTGGCGCGGACGGCACAGGAATGACAAGCACTCCGGGAGACTCTTTTGGGGGGCCTGTAATTAAGGCTTTTGTTTTGGGCAAAAACAAGTGATCTGAGGGCCACTCCTACACCCAACTTTTGTTTTGGCGTGGTTCTTAAGGCTTTGAGTCCCGGACGGCTTGCACATTAGAACAGTGTGCGGCGCTGTCGTTACATGGCTGAAGGTGGAACTGCCCCTTGAACTTGTGGACATCACAGGAGAGGAATCTAACACCCCACCCCCCCCCCCCCCCAGTCGATCAGAAGTTCGAAAAAACTATCAATCCTGCACCCCCCTACACCCTAAACCCTAAAGCCCTCAACCACGAAGAATGGGCCGGTACGGGAGCGCGGGAGCTCTGGGGCTCTTCATCTTATGTAATATAGGGCCCTTAAAATTGGAATGTTTTTTTTTTTTTTTTTTTTGGGGGGGGGGGGGCGGGGTCATTGTAATATATATGTATACATATATATATATATATCTATATAGGGACCCTAAGGGAATATGATTAGAAATGATTCCGACCCCTATATTACAGGTTCTCAGTGGGGACTAATCACCTCCGGTTGCTTTCTGGGAAGATCATGGGGTCTCTAGCATACCAAACGAGCTCCCTGCGACCTTCCATGCTAAGAGCTGGAACGAAGAAACCCTAAACCCTAAACCCTAAACCCTAAACCCTAAACCCTAAACCCTAAACCCTAAACCCTAAACCCGACTAAGGGCCTATTGGGTCCTCAGAAGCATCGCTGTCAAGGAGGCAGAAGTCATAGGAACTCGGCCGTCTCCCCGCTTTAACCCAAAGTTAGAACTTAACAGCTTCGGGATTCAGGGTAGGAACCGAGTACCTTCACGAACACAAGTCAATAGACTAACAAGTCAGTCACATTCCTCCCCCACCACCACATGTGGGTCTGCGGGTCACTCCAGGGATGGGTTTAGAGTTAGGGGCTTTGGGGGGTTGGGTGCTCACGTGCTTTGACCACTCTCCATTGCATGTGAGCTACATTCACTCCATTCGAGCGCGGTGCGCTCGATTCAACGCAACTCTTGGTGGCTAAATGAACCCTATAACTGGCTTCTGCGCCCGATATCCATATAGATAGCTAGGGAGTGTCGTAGCACAGGATCCCAAATTGGGGCTCATTTAGTCACAAGGAGATGCTTCTGCCCAACATCTGCCCAAGCGCTGAGAAAGCACGGAGCGCGCAAGTGGCATACGAACTTTGATCTTGGGTCCCTGCTCTAGCCTTCAACTCTAAACCCTAAACCCCAAACCCTAAACCCTAAACCCTAAACCCTAAACCCTAAACCCTAAACCCTAAACCCTAAACCCTAAACCCTAAGCCCTGGCGGCTCAGGGTGTGTGCAGATCACAAGATGGGATGTCTTGGGAGTTTGTGCTGCCGGTGTTGAAGATCCCAGCACACTAGGGAGTGCAGAGAGGCCTGCCAGGGCACAGCAACTAATCTTAACTGCTTGGGGGGTCTGGGGCTTCGGGTTTAGGGCTTAGGGCTACAACCCTCAAGCCCTAAGCACTGAAAATGAAGACTAGTCCTTGCCTCCGAGCTGCCGACATCGGTTGGGTGGGCTTTTGGTTCATGTACTGGGCTTCGCCCGAAAGACTCGGGATCTCCGCGTAGGCCCTGGAGCTGCACGGTTAGAGGTTCATGGGTAAATCTAAGTGGGGTTGTAAGTAAGGTAATGAGATTTATAACGGCTATAACGTAACTATAATTATAAATGGTTCTAACCCGTGCCGGGCACTCAAAAACCCGACTCATAACTACCCATGAACCTTGAGGAAATTTCCTCCTGTGTCGAAGAGACACGCCTTCTGCCGTTCCACAGCGCCCCCATGGGCCTCTATATTGAAGAACCCACCGCCATGTGTCCCAAAAACCCCAAATCCTACACCCTATTACCCCATTTACCCCATGAAGCCCTAAAACCTTACTCCCATTTTGGTGTGAAGAATCCGCAACGCTGCAAGCTCAAGATTCATGCCCACGACTTGCCGCGGCTTCAGCTTAGGGCAAGAAGGGGGTGGGGGGGTAGAGGTTAAGGGCGTTAAGGAATAGAACGCCAAGGGCCCGTGTAACTAAATAATGTATATTTGGGCGTTCAAGTCGTTCCTATGAAGTGACTTTGCTTTGGGGGCCCAAGTATAACATAGTTAGAAACCTGGACCCTTACTTGGAGGTTCATGGGTACGTAGTTATAAGTAAGGTTAGAAGTAAGGTAACTCTGATTATAACTGGGTATCACCATATTTACCCATGAACCTTCAAGTAGGGGAATGACCAGAAACCATAGGGTGCCTCAGGTTTTTCGGGCCCTGGACGATGCAGGGAACGGCACGCGGCCGCGAGCACAATCCCGCGCATCTCATCCCCAAGGGCCCATGTCTCTGAAGCAGGCAACACTATTGAGGGTTTAGGGTTTAGGTTTAGGGTTTAGGGTTTAGGATTTAGGGTTTAGGGTTTAGGGTTTTGTTTCTACACAGCGACTTTGGGGGCCAAGCATATACTCCGGCACATGGACCCCTGAGGAATGCTAATTTTCGTCTTGGGGACTAACTGATGGTTGAGAACTCCTTCATGGGGTGTCGGGCTATTGAGAACCTCTTATTGGGTTGAGGGTGTAGGGTTCTACTAGCACGGGTATCTGGTAGTCCCAAGGTGCATGGCCACTGCAAGAGCAGAGGATAACCATCACAGCTGCATCAACTCAGCATGTCTGGAGAAACACCGCTTACAGACTCAAGCCCGGCATGCAAATGAGCCGGGCACCTTTCCGACGAACACGCACCGGGGTCCAGTCTGCCTAGGCCCACAGAAACCTCTACCCTAAACCCTAAACCCTGAACCCTAAAACCTAAACCCTAAACCCTAACCCTAAACCCTAAACCCTAAGCCCCAAACCCCAAACCCTAAACCCTAACTCTTGGGAATGACGTCCAAGTTTTAAGGATTGGGGGGGGGTCCTACATTTAGGGACTCAAAAGGACAGGAACCTCGAGCTTGGGTTTTCAACTTGACAGCAGCCACTCGTTGGATTCAAGTCTACTACGGGTGTAGGGTAGGTTTAGGGTTTAGGGTTTAGGGTTTAGGGTTTAGGGCTTAGGGTTTAGGGTTTAGGGTTTAGGGTTTAGGGTTTAGGGTTTAGGGTTTGGAGTTTGGGGTTTGGGGTTTAGGGTTTAGGTTTTAGGGTTTAGGGTTTAGGGTTTAGGGTCTAGGGTTTAGGGTTGGGGGTTTAGGGTTTAGGGCTTTGGGCTTAGGGTTTAGGATTTGGGGTTTAGGGTTTAGGGCTTTTGGGCTTAGGGTTTCGGGTTTAGGGTTTAGGGCTTAGGGTTTAGGGTTTAGGGCTTAGGGCTTAGGATTTAGGGCTTAGGTGTCTTGACTCCGTTCGAGCCCACCGCCGTTCTATGCATCTGCAGGAGACAAGCGCTTTGGCAGCGGTTCGATGTACCACTATTGGCAGCTATCAACCCAGCAACCTCCTCGAGCTGAAGCCCTGAACAGCCCAAAACAATCCTAAACCCTAGGCCCTAAACCCTAAACCCTAAACCCTAAACCCTAAACCCTAAAACAACCAGCGCCAGGGCACCTAGTAGGCTCGTGACAGAACTCCCAGGAGCGCTGAAAGGACACCACCGGTGAAGATGCAAAGCTTCACGAACATCCTGGCGTTCTCCAAGGCTGAAGGAATAAGGTTTAGGGTTTAGGGTTTAGGGTTTAGGGTTTAGGGTTTTGGGTTTTGGGTTTTGGGTTTTGGGTTTAGGAAGAGGAACCTGGGGATGACAAGGGTGCCCCTTTTTGGCTCAAACAGAGTTGATAAGGGAACATAAGCCCTAAATAAAGGGAATAGGGGCCTATAGGCTGGGTCCTAGTCATAAGGGTTACATGCGTTTGCCTAGCGTGACCTTGCGCGGGAAACTGGTACAATACATAACTGAAAGCCAAATCCCGAGGCGAACTAACACCTTTCGCCAGCAAGAACTGTTGGCTACACACAGACTTCGTTCGGGTTTTCTAAGCTGCAAGGGGTGTGTCTGTAGGGCTGGCTGCGAGGCTTATAAGGCGCAGGGTACGCGACGACTTTCATTAACAACTTCCAGTCCTTTTGCTAGGGCTTGATAGGATTCAGGCTGTTCAACATCGCTTGCAGACATCTGTTTGCGCACGTGGTTGTTGCGTGCTCTGAAGACTTCTGCAACTCGGTTGTGCTGTCAGTATTGTCGGCCACAGCTGCAGAAAATCCGAACTCCAACCCTGCCGACAGCCTCAGCACTCTAAACTCAGACCACAGCAACCTTTGTACACAGCAAAAAAGGGCAGTGCCCGAAGTTTATAGAGTTCAGGGTCTGAGAGTCTTAGCATGCCTTGTAGTGCACCTCCCTTCATGCGAATATAAACCTTTAGTAACCTCCGAAGGGTACCTTGTTGGCAATTTTTAGAGAGAAAGAGGGAGGGAAAGAGAGAGAGAGAGAGAGAGTACTTGGGTCTAGGAATAGGCAAAGGCGCATGGGTAAAAGCAATATGAATCAGCACGTCTCGGTCAAGAGAAGGCAACAACAAAAAGGGTGTTTGGCTGAATTTCTCGCTAGGCGTCGATCGAGAGATCCGAAGATCTTTCACCACAAACCTGCCACAACAGATGGAGCGAACAACTGGCTTGTGGGTGTATCTATAAGAATATACGCATAGATGTAGATGGGTGTATGTATATATATATATATATGTTCATATGTACCATATGTAGATTTCGTATTTGATGTATAGTACGTACATTGTGTATACTGCGTATTTTCTGCATATGAAATTATGCGCGTTATGTATACTATGTGTATGGTGTACGTTGTGTATGTTCAGTATATTATGGGTACTATGCATTATATATATATATATATATATATATATGGTACCCCCCCCCCCCCCATGGACCTACCTTTTTTTTTGAAACCTCGGCTTGACCGATGTTTCAAAAAAGGGTGGCTTCTCCAAAACATTGGTTTTACCAATGTTTTTGAACCCCTACCTCGAAAAAAACATTGGTTTTACCGATGTTTTTTGAGCCCATGCTCACGAAACATCGCAAAAACCAATAAAAAACATAAAAACCATGATTTTCCAAACTATGGGCTTGGGTCTCCGAGTAGTTTGAAAAATCATGGTTTTTATGGTTTTTATTGGTTTTTGCGATGTTTCCTGAGCAGGGGCTCCAAAAACATTGGTTTTACCGATGTTTTTTGAAGGTGGCCTCTCCAAAACATTGGTTTTACCAATGTTTTTGAACCCCTACCTTCAAAAAAACATTGGTTTTACCGATGTTTTTTGAGCCCATGCTCACGAAACATCGCAAAAACCAATAAAAACCATAAAAACCATGATTTTCCAAACTATGGGCTTGGGTCTCCGAGTAGTTTGAAAAATCATGGTTTTTATGGTTTTTATTGGTTTTTGCGATGTTTCCTGAGCAGGGGCTCCAAAAACATTGGTTTTACCGATGTTTTTTGAAGGTGGCCTCTCCAAAACATTGGTTTTACCAATGTTTTTGAACCCCTACCTTCAAAAAACATTGGTTTTACCGATGTTTTTTGAGCCCATGCTCACGAAACATCGCAAAAACCAATAAAAAACCATAAAAACCATGATTTTCCAAACTATGGGCTTGGGTCTCCGAGTAGTTTGAAAACTCATGGTTTTTATGGTTTTTATTGGTTTTTGCGATGTTTTCTGAGCAGGGGCTTTAAAAACATTGGTTTTACCGATGTTTTTTGAAGGTGGCCTCTCCAAAACATTGGTTTTACCAATGTTTTTGAACCCCTACCTTCAAAAAACATTGGTTTTACCGATGTTTTTTGAGCCCATGCTCACGAAACATCGCAAAAACCAATAAAAACCATAAAAACCATGATTTTCCAAACTATGGGCTTGGGTCTCCGAGTAGTTTGAAAAATCATGGTTTTTATGGTTTTTATTGGCTTTTGCGATGTTTTCTGAGCAGATGCTTTAAAAACATTGGTTTTACCGATGTTTTTTGAAGGTGGCCTCTCTAAAACATTGGTTTTACCAATGTTTTTGAACCCCCACCTTCAAAAAAACATTGGTTTTACCGATGTTTTTTGAGCCCATGCTCACGAAACATCGCAAAAACCAATAAAAAACATAAAAACCATGATTTTCCAAACTATGGGCTTGGGTCTCCGAGTAGTTTGAAAAATCATGGTTTTTATGGTTTTTATTGGTTTTTGCGATGTTTCCTGAGCAGGGGCTCCAAACACATTGGTTTTACCGATGTTTTTTGAAGGTGGCCTCTCCAAAACATTGGTTTTACCAATGTTTTTGAACCCCTACCTTCAAAAAACATTGGTTTTACCGATGTTTTTTGAGCCCATGCTCACGAAACATCGCAAAAACCAATAAAAACCATAAAAACCATGATTTTCCAAACTATGGGCTTGGGTCTCCGAGTAGTTTGAAAAATCATGGTTTTTATCCTCTAACATCCTACTAAACTAGTATGAGCCTAATCCAATAGGAATCCCTTCAAATCAATGAGAATCCTACGCGAATCCCAGTAACATGCATAAGAATCCTACCTTATTAAATTGGTAGGAGCCTTAGGGCGTGATGTCTTAAGATATGTTGCTAAGGTACAGTGTTAGTATAGATGTTAGGACTTGCTTATCGGGGGATGATTGTTTGAGATATCGTAGCTATGTCATGTCTTGGCGTATTGGGGCGTGATTGATTGTAAGGAGGTTTTGGTACTCTCCCAACATTTTCGTAGAATTAATAGGATTAGTAGGAATCCTATTAAACTGAAGAGGAACCCTACTCAAATTAATAGGAACCATAGGAAGCCTATTAAAATGAATAGGAACCTTAACAAGTTGGAAACAACCCGGGTTACAAGTCACAGGAATCCTATTAAAACGAGAAGGAATCTTTCTAAATCAATAGGAACCAATAGGCCTTAAAAACAATAGAATCCTTTAACAAGAACTGATAGGAATCCTACTAAACTAGTATGAGCCTAATCCAATAGGAATCCTTTAAAATTAATGAGAATCCTATGCGAATCCCAGTAACATGCATAAGAATCCTGTTGAAATTGATAGGAACCTTATTAAATTGGTAGGAGCCTTAGGGCGTGATGTCTTAAGATATGTTGCTAAGGTACAGGTTTAGTATAGATATTAGGTCTTGCTTATCGGGGGATGACTGTTTGAGATATCGTAGCTAAGGTAGTGTTTGTAGGACAGATGTCATGTCTTGCGTATTGGGGCGTGATTGATTGTAAGGAGGTTTTGGTACTCTCCCAACATTTTCGTAGAATTGATAGGATTAGTAGGAATCCTATTAAACTGAAGAGGAACCCTACTCAAATTAATAAACCAATCGGACTCCTGTAAGAAATAACGTGAACCTTTAGACAAACCGATTAAAATGAACATGAGCTTAAACCAACAGGAATCCCTTGAAAGTGAATGAGATCCCTTTAATATTAACACGAACCCCATTAACATGAATAAGAATCTGATCAAAATTGATAGGACTCTTATTACAGAAAATAGGGGCCTTATTAATAATTAGGAACCCTATGAAACTTTATTGGGATCCTATGAAAGTAAATAGGAATCCTCTATTGAATTATCGGGACCGGACAACAGTTAATAGGAAGCCTATTAAAATGAATAGGAACCTTAACAAGTTGGAAACAACCCGGGTTACAAGTCACAGGAATCCTATTAAAACGAGAAGGAATCTTTCTAAATCAATAGGAACCAATAGGCCTTAAAAACAATAGCATCCTTTAACAAGAACTGATAGGAATCCTACTAAACTAGTATGAGCCTAATCCAATAGGAATCCTTTAAAATTAATGAGAATCCTATGCGAATCCCAGTAACATGCATAAGAATCCTGTTGAAATTGATAGGAACCTTATTAAATTGGTAGGAGCCTTAGGGCGTGATGTCTTAAGATATGTTGCTAAGGTACAGGTTTAGTATAGATATTAGGTCTTGCTTATCGGGGGATGACTGTTTGAGATATCGTAGCTAAGGTAGTGTTTTTAGGACAGATGTCATGTCTTGCGTATTGGGGCGTGATTGATTATAAGGAGGTTTTGGTACTCCCTCGAGATTTTGCAGGATTCGAGATTGTTGCTTGGTACTACCTCGAGAAATGGTGGCTGGGAGAGAGCCTCAGATCACGAAAATCATGGAAAACATTGGTTTTACCCATGTTTTTGAAGGATGGAGCCCGAAAACATCGGCAAAACCAATGTTATCCATAAAATCCATGGTTTTCAAACCATGTGGCTGGGAGCACCCAATTCACGGATAATTGGTTTAACCAATGTTTTTGAAGGATGGAGCCCGAAAACATCGGCAAAACACATGTTATCCATAAAACCCATGGTTTTCAAACCATGTGGCTTAGACCGCGAAATTCATGGATAAAAACAAAGGAAATTGGTAGGTCCATGGGGGGGGGGGGGTAGCATATATATATATATATAATGTATATATATATATAATTTACTTATTTATTTGTATTTCTGCATACATATATACATATTGTATATTCGGCATTCTTGTACACGCCATGCACATTCTTAGAATTTGCTCTGTAAACACACAGGGACGATTCTCAAGAGGACAGGACGGGAGCCTATATATCTACAACTGTATGAACACTCGTGTACATGTCTCTATATATAACTATATATACTTATTTGCTTACGTGTTTTTTAAGACCTATTTCCCCAGCCCCCCCCCCCCCCCCCCCCCCCCCCCCCCCTCTCAAAAAAAGAAACCCCCCCCCCCCCCCCCCCGCCCACCAACATAATTTGCGACATGTTCAAGGGATGATGCGCTTACTGCATGTCGCAGCTCAAAAATCCCGAATGCCAAAAAACCACCCAAAAATGCACCCAACATCAAGAGCCAACTTCAAAGACTCTCTAACCCCGAGGCTCCTATGTAGTACCTTTGTTGGGTAGTATACTAAAATCCCATTTAACTACCCCAAAAAGGAACTACATTGGAGCCTTTAGGTAACCTCAAAGGCTGGTATTGTTCAGTCTTGCAAGGTGTGTTTTTGGTATTCTTTGCTCAAGCCGAAAGCTGACCTGCTTCAATATTTCAGCCCTCCGAAATGTCGAAACCCAAACAAACACGTGAGGGTTCTGGATGTATGATGCACCCCGAAATACCGAAGACAAAAACACAAACGGATGTTTTGGCATGTGAGTGACATTTCCCCACAACATGACCCGACAACTAAAACAGCTTCTTGGCTTTTGCTCAAGAGAGACCATGAAGCGTAGCATTCTGGGCTTTTTGGGTGCAGGGGGTGCCTTCTTGAAATTTTCCGAGTGGGTGACTTCCAATAACAGATCCCTTTCCTCAATCATCCCCTTCTCTGGTCTTTCTCGGGATGGGCACTCCAGTGATATCAGGGATACGTAGCGGGACTCTTTGCGGGCTTCTCTATAGGCACTTCAGGGATATTCGGCGGGACTCTTGGACACACTAGCCGGTACACTGCAAGTGGGTCCGATGCGTTGCCCTTCCAAGTCCCCAAAAAAAACCTGAAATATTCAATTTACTAAACTTGCCAGCATGTCACTTTGAAGATACAAGGCGATTGGTCAAAACAAGCCGGCACCTCTCAAGGCCCCTCTCAAAAATAGCTTCCCCCCCAAAAAACCGTGCTTAAGCAAAAGGCCCGAACCCCCACCCCACAGAACCCTCCCAAAAGAAGGAGGTCGGGTTTCTAAAAAGATCCCCCCCTTGACCTCGCGCCCCTACAAACGTAAGCTTGACACTTATAAGCTCAAAACAGAACCTTTCGGTCAACACTTTCGGTCAACATGTTCTTGCTGCCCAAAAAAAAGTCCTCAATTCCTTTTCTATAAGGTCCCAGGCTGGACAGGGACGTGCCAAAGTGACTCAGCGGGATTCTAGTACCGGTAACTTGGAGGTTCATGGTACTTATAACACAAGTATAGCCGTATTGTGAGGGTGCTTAAGTTGTACACGGGGTAGAAGCACAGATATAATTGGGTTACACAAGTACGACAAGATAGACCCGGTACCGGTGCAACTTAGACATGAACAAGGGTGCCGTTTCTTGCTTTCAGAATGGGTGCTATAAGGGTTTGTATCTTAATGGGGAGGCGCGCGACACGTGTTGGGGTCGGGGTATGTTTCGCGGGTATGTTTCGGAGTATGTTTCGGGGTATGTTTCGGGGGTATGTTTCCCGGCATCATGAGCTACTCTACCTGCAATTTCGGAGGTATGTTACGGGGTATGTTTCGGGGGTATGTTTCGGGGTATGTTTCGCGGGTGTGCAATCCGTGTGCCCTTCTTAAACCTGAGCCCCCCCAAAAAACACAAACCCATAAGGGGAAACCAACAGGAATGGGGGGTCTGGCTGGTTCGGATGAACGAAGGACCCAAAGCCACCCGGAAACTGATTGTTGGTGCCATGGGCCATTGTCCCTCAAGCCTGGCCCTTTCAACCTCCGAAAAACTACCTCAAGCCTGGCCCTTTCAACCTCTGAAAAACTACTACGCTACTACACCCAAGAGTAACCTAGGAATAAAACGGGCACGTACCCTTTGTGGCTTAAAAGGGGCTTAACAGTTCCTCGAGGAAGCACAATACAGAGGCAAATGCAAATACTCTCCCGAGGGCCTACGTAGCATGGGCCTACGTGGCATGATGCCGCTTTATCCTCTGGGGTAGCGTGCCCTGTCCTGGTGTTCTTACCGCTTCGGCAAGGGAGCAGCATACTTGCACAAACATTACGTGCAGTGCCTGGAATGTGCTGAAGGAGTCCTAAACTCGCCAAAAACCTGAAACCCTAACACCTAAAGCCCCAAAACCCTAAAGCCCCAAAACCCCACAGGCCCAAAATCCTAAAGAAAAAAACCTGAAAACCCTAAAACCCTGAAGCCCTAAACCCTAAACCCTAACCCTAAACCCCGAAAACCCTAACACCCCCACAACAAAAATTAAAAAAAAACAGCGCTGATGAGGGCAAAGCGACCCCGGAGAGCTGTCGGAAATGAATCGCACAAGATACTGGCGATCCAGGTCAATGCCTCGGTTTGGTAGGGCTTAGGGTTTAGGGTAGGGTTTAGGGTTTAGGGTTTAGGGTTTAGGGTTTAGGGTTTAGGGTTTAGGGTTTAGGGTTTAGGGTTTAGGGTTTAGGGTTTAGGGTTTAGAGTTTCGGGTTTCGGGTTTAGGGTTAGGGTTTAGGGTTTAGGGTTTAGGGTTTAGGGTTTAGGGTTTAGGGTTTAGGGTTTAGGGTTTAGGGTTTTGGGTTTAGGGTTGGGGGGTTTGGGCTTAGGGTGTAGGGTTTAGGGCCTTCGGGTTTAGGGCTTAGGAACATTTCTGGTTGGGGTGTAGGGTTCTGGGGCCTCAGTTGAGAATGCAGGGAAATCAAAGCCCATCAATCTTCGCTATACTCGGCCCACACGCAAAAAGCTGCAGTCCTACAGCTCTGCGGAGGTTCATCCAAAATGCGCCATATGCTCAGCCTAGTTGTGGATCAGACCTGAATTTGCAGGCTTGGCACGTTGCAACCTACAGCCGTTTGAAGACTTGTAAACCAGTTCAGGAACACGAGGCTCCACATGGGGGTGGAGATATCTGATGTACATGTTCGCCGAAGAAGCGATTGCTAAGAACGCCATATCCTTCACCACGATGTGTAGCACTGCTTTTGGACGCTTGAAAATTGGACTGCGTGAGCTTGCCTAGGAACCGAGTCAGAGGATGCATGCTCCAACACAGGAAGTGCCGCAACGAAGACTTCATCTGGTTCAGCGAACCAGATTCGAGCATGCTGTTTATGAAGTCTTGTTGATTGAAACAGTTTGTGCTCAACACGAGCTTACTTGACCCTAAACCCTAATCCCTTGTCTGAGGCGCCGCTTGCTCATTGAAGTTCTTTCGTCTGCTTGAGAAGCTCCGGAGGAGGGGTGGGAAAGGTAAAATGATTGGGTGGGCGAGTTTTTTGGTACGCACTGTAAGGTTGAGGATTTAGCATGCTTCTGTCAACTCTTGCGGTGCGCGTAAGGCCCGGATGGAGTTTTCCCGAGGCTCAGTTTTGCAGCTTCGCTCGTAAATTTCCGGAGGATACCATGAACCCTCAAACCCTGGGTTAGTTGTCAGGAGTTCTCCTTAGGCCTGTTTACGCCCCCCCGTGCTTCAAGGCTTGTGCAGCAAAACTTAGTTATTATGGTGGTTTCAGGTTCGAGGTCTTGGGGTTAGGGGTTAGGGGTTAGGGTCTTCCTCGATAATAGCAAAATACGACAATGAAGAAATGACAATGAGCAAGCACTATTGCCGAAGATGCAATGACATATGAAGAAAAAGGCATCAAACAACAGCGCAGTCCTAGACTCAAGAAATAGTATGAGAATATAGTAGTATAATAGTTTATTAGTGTCATAGTGTAATAGTAGAATAGCATAGTAAGAGCAAATTATAACGATACTAATATAACAAGATACTAACATAATAAGAATCTACTAATACATTGATGAAGACAAAAAACATATACAAACAAAACCATCTACTAACATATCAGTATACAAGCATATAACGATAAGGAAATCTGTGATTTCAGATTGTAACAGGATACTAGGGGCTCTGCCGTTGACAAGATTGAGGCACGGTTCGCCCTCAACTCGAGGGTCTCTATTCTATCTGGTACTTCCAGTAGGTCTCAACCACAAATCGTCATATTTTGCAACTTGTTACTACATCTTTCTATTGTTATATTCCTATGTCCAAAACCGCTGATACATGATAAGCTGAGATTTGAGGCTTGGTTTCAGGGTGTAGGCTCTGGGGTTCAACTAAGCTCAAATTTCGAAAGCTTAATTGTATGGGACACTGAAACATGAACGACAACACCTTAACCCTCAAAAACAAGCAGTCACTTCCCGTGGCTGGGTGCAGTCTGAGATGCTACTGCCCGTTGGGATCTGGTTCACGAATGCAGGAATGTGCGCGCACTTTTCTGTGAGGGAGCTCGCGTGGTAGAATACCTGGCGGAAAAGAAACGCCGATACACTTGAAGGTTCAGGGGTAGTTCTAAGTAGGGTTATCAGTGCCCGAAATAAGGTTAGTCATAACCACCTTGGTATAACTATAGATATTCCACATATAGCACCAGCTATAACTACCCATGAAATGGACCTCCAAGTGCACCCCAAACGCATTAAGACCATGAATGTGGCATATTGCCTGTACCCTGACAGACCACTTCTAGTATTGATATTATGGAATTGTGTACCAGGAATAAGATACTGTAGAGGGCTTGGTGTACCTAGTTTCATGACAGCATTACGACTGGACCGTGTGGGATAAGTATCTGACTTGTGGGGCGTAGGGCCAAGCGATCCGCCTAAATATGAAGTATGGTGTTTCTTACTAGTATCACCGCAAGGAGATCAATTACGTACACTCACCAAGATTTACCAAGGAAGCCTAAAATCCACTCGCCAATGACAGACATGGAAACCCTACAAGCCCAACGAAACCAATGCCCCGAAATTGTGGAACATACCTTAGTTCATGAGCCCCTAAACCCTAAACCCTAAACCCTAAACCCTAAACCCTAAACCCTACAACCGCGCGTTAAGCCGCGCCCACAATCCTTTCTGCAGCAGAGCAAGTGGTCTTCGTCTCGCGCCTGCCATGCTTTCTGAGCTTGGGCACGGGCTCAAAGGCAGCGATTTCGCAAAGTAAAAATCTTGGAACTTCAACTTCAAAATTCCGGGACACGCGTCCAACGTGGTCTGCATCATTGCTGGCTGGCCAGAACATGTTTCTGGGCAAGAAGAAGTCACGGTCGACCAAAACTGGAACTGCTGGGCTCGTGCAAAAGCCCCAAAAGCTGCAACGCAGTGTCATCGAAGATGCAGAGGAGTGAGTGAAAGAGCTCCCTAGAGGGTGTTTGCTGCCATTTCCGGGAACAGGGTGTCCTGAAGCGCAGCAGCCCGCTCACAGAAGAACTCGGCTGAGCGTGCGGGAAAGAGGGACTGTGCCTAGTGATGCCCTGGGGACTGTCTTAGTGAGCTGCTGCCGCGGAGTTACCTTCTGTTGATGGCTTGACTGAAGCCTGCAATGTGTTCTAAAGCTTCGGCCAAGTAATTTCTCAACTGTTCCGCACGCGGCCGCCAGGCTTGAGGCGTCAGCGAAGCATATAGACACGATCCCGCAAGGATGTCGGCACCGAGTGAAGAATGATCGGTGGATGAGTGGCTTCCGCAAAGCAAACGACCTGCGCCGTCGAAGCGAGGATGGTCGTCAAGACATCAGCAGCCAAGCACAACGTCTCCAACAGCCCAGTACTCTGGTCAGGCCCACCACTGTCTCTGTGAGGAGGAGGAGTTGCGGCAGTCGAAACTCCATCCAGAGGCTAGGTCGCACGGACTCCAATGCGCAGATGCGGCGTCAAGCACTTCGCGTGCCAGGGCCGCGACAAAGAACGGTTCAGAGGGAAATACCATGGCCACCGCAGACTATCTTCGATCGACAGACAGGGCTTTCAAGAAACGGCAACAAAAAAGGGACTCAAGGGTTCAGGCTCTCCAATTGACGGCGCCGGCACTGCTTCTCGTGCGCTCAGGGTTTTGGGTTGAGGGTTTCAGGACTTCATGTTGAGGGATTTATGTCAAAGATTCAAGTGACGGAAAGAGAGAACCCGTCAAGGGAAGCCGAGGCGTGCCGGTTGTTGTACTTGGAGGAGTGCTGTGCACCGCGTCGAAGCGCCACACGGATATCCTTGTTGATATCCCGATGCCACCGCTGAATGCTGCCTGCTGCTAGGCAAGTCAGCCAGGGCCCCCCTGCACAACTTAAAGTTCCAGCACAACCGCTGGCCCCCGTCGCCTTTCTCAAACCAACCTTTGCACCGAAGAACCACTTTCCCAGCGTGCACGCCCGAGTAGTGGATGTAAGGACGAAGCACCTTGCCGCAGCGAACGCCTCTGCCGTACTTCGTTGCTCGACCAGCCAGCAACGGGTCCCAGACACTGAAAGTCGTAGCCTCAGTGGCATCGTCATCACGCAAGTCAGACACATAAGCAGCACCCTAAATGGAGCAGACGTTCTCATCGTGCGGACATGGATGCTCTGGCCATTCTGGCCATTCGCACCGCCCCCCCCCAAACCAAGCGGTGGTCGGAGGGCTAAACCCTAAACCCTAAAACCCTGAACCCCGGATGCTTAGGGTTTTGAGGTTTAGGGTTTAGGGTTGCGGGCGGGGAGTCGCTCGAGCTGCCCGAAGGTTCAGGGCCAGAAAGAACAACACCGGCAATGCCATCGCGAGCTCCTTTTCGGGTTCGAGGTGCACGTTTCCTGTACCCAAAACCCTAAGACCCTAAACCCTAACCCTGTCAAACCTGAACCCTAAACGAGGGATGAAGAAATTCAGGGATGTGCTGTGGCTTGATACCGCTTAATTACTTCGGGAACGTCCCTGACTTCGGAGGAAAATCCTCGATATCTGGGTTGGGGAAATTCTAGGCCCAAGAGTAGCCTAAGAAAAAAGGGTACCCTTTTTTGCCTCAAAGGGGTTTACAGGGGAACCTAACCCCCCCCAAAAAAGGGAATAAGGGCCTACTCTGGCTCCGTGAACTTTTCAGGGTTCCCTACAACCCCCCCTCTATGCTAGCCCCCCCCCCCCCCAACTTCCCCCCTTAAATAACCAAATGTCTTAAGTAGGCTAAATTATTTAAATTATCCTAAGTAGCCTTAATTATGGGGGAATGGGGGGGAAGGGGGGGGGGGGGTAGTTTTGAGGGGGGGTAGTAGGGGATGATGAATGGGCCCGAAGAGTGAAGAGTGCCACAAGCACTAGTAGAATCCGGTGGTGTCACTGGGGGTCCTCGGGTTTTGGGTTGAGGGTTGCGGCTTCAGAGTTTGCTTTGTGGGCAAAGGGTCGGGGTGAAGCCTAAGGGGTGCAGAGTATAGGTCTGGAGGGGTTTGCTACAGTTCCCTAAGTCCCAAACCCAAAACCCTAAACCCCGAACTCTAAACCCTAAACCCTGAACCCTAAACTGCAGTCCTGGGCGAGCAAGCTGCCATCGAACGCGGTTCTTGGTTTAGCGGCAGGGTAGATGTTTCTATGGTTTTAGAAGGGACTTGGTTTTGGGTTTAGGGTGTAGGGTTTAGGGTTTGAGGGGCGCTTTAACCAAAAATCGTACATGCTTGCTGGAAAATAGGTGATTGGTCATTTTACAGCGTTACTCTGGGTAGGCATTCGGATAGACAGGTTGAGGGTTGGGATCTAATTAAGGCCAGTCACATACACATCCGGCCTTCCCCACTACTAAACTTGGTAGCCCAGTAACCACAGTACAATAAGGGTACCCTTGCTGGGGTTGGTTACTTTAGAAGGAAACCTAGCACCCAAAAAACGGCTGACGGGCACCACTGGGCTACCAGGGTAAAATGGTGGGCGCCTCACGTCCGATCTCGACATTCCCAAAAGGGCGACCGGTTCAGGGCTAAAGGGCTTAGGGTAGGAGGGACGAAGTGTGCGACATCGAAGACTATAGTTCCAGAAGTGAGGTCTAGGGTTTAGGGTTTAGGGTTTAGGGTTGTGGGTTGTGGGGTGTGAGGTTTAGGGTTTAGGGTTTAGGGTTTAGGGTTTAGGGTTTAGGGTTTAGGGTTTAGGGTTTAGGGTTTAGGGTTTAGCGTTTACCGGCGCAGGCTCCAGAGTTTAGGGATTTGGGGCCAGGGTTTTTGCGCGCCGCCAGGATGGCCCTTAGAACCCTCTGAACAATTTTCTCAAGCATGATCCTCTTAAACTCCCCTCAACCCTCACCCTAAAACCTAACCTCAAACCCTAAACCCTCACACCCCAAACCCAAATAAGAGAAGGTATAAATTATCCCAAGGGACCAGCTAGAGACCCGAAACGATGAGCCATGAACTTACTGTTGGTTAGTAGTTAGTAGGGATAGGGGGGAATGAGGCACTCTATATAATCCCTTGAAGAGTATACATATATATATATATATATCTATATATCTATATATATATATATATATATATATAAATAATTAGGGCCCTAATTCCCTCTTTCCCTGCTAAACAACAGCAGGGCCAAAGACCCGAAACGGTAAGCTGTGCCTGTGACTCCTGAACACCAGACACAAGCCTTCCCAACCCTGCGGCTTCCTCCTATCCACGTCAAGGGTTTCGGGTTTAGGGTTCAGGGTTGAGGGCTTAGGGTTTCGGGTTTAGGGTGTAGGGTTAAGGGTTTAGGGTGTATGGCTTAGGGTGTAGGATTCTCTTCAACAGCCAGGGAAGGAAAGAAGGGTGAACTGCAAACATTGAAGCACTAAGCCCGAAACTCCAAACCCGAAACCCCGAACAAGTGAAGAAGCCCAAGAAGATCCAACTTCAACTGCCAACTAGACCCAGAAGTAGCCTTGTCTAGAAGAGGCTCTGGTAGGCCAACATCATCCCACTTGCAAGCACCACGGCAAAACCGAGCCCGCCAGAAGCCTGAAGCAGGGGGGGGGGGGCCCACAGCCTTGGCGTTTCGGGTTTCGAGTCAGGGCTGCCTAAATTTCCTTCGAACTGTCTGGGCGTGGGGAGGGGTGACACTCGAGGGCTTCTCTAGTGCCATTTAATTACTCATTTAGGGGTCGGAATAAACTACGAGTAGTCTTCCCTTATGGTCCTAATGTGGCGATAAAATGGACCGCAGTATTCCCTTATGGTCCTAATGTGGCCATAAAATGGACCATAAATTCTTAAGGCCCCTGTACTACGCTTCTTTGGGGTTTCAAGACCCTAAACCCTAAACCCTAAACCCTAAACCCTAATTTGGGGTTCCAAGGGCCTGCGATGTGAAGAAGCTGTCTGAGAACTCGCGGCCGATGCACTGAAGTAAGGCCTGCAGACCTCGGGAGGCGGCGGAGCGCTGCCGATCGCAACAGTGGAGGGTTTAGGGTTTAGGGTTTGGGGTTTAGGGTTTAGGGTTTGGGGTTCAGGGTTCAGGGTTCAGGGTGTACGGTGTAGGGTGTAGGGTGTAGGGTGTAGGCTTAGGGCTTAGGGCTTAGGGTTAGGGGCTATCTAGTTTCAATCCTTACCTAGACACCCTAGACCCTGAGTTGGGCGTTAATTTCTTGCATAGTTTCTACGAAACTATTGGTTCCCCGAAAGCTACTACGATTCAGGGATGCAAGAAAGGTGTCTGCTCAAAGCTCTGGAAGGTCCAAGGAATACGCAGGTTAGGGTTTAGGGACATGCGATGAGCTCTTGGGCACAGCTCTACCCTCCGAGGGAAATCTTGTTATTCCCTTGTAAGAAAAGAGAAAAGACACCGACATTTATGACGCACATTCCTTTTCTGAAGGGTATACATGCTGCTCCAGGCACACCCTAAACGCTGAGACCCCCTTATACCCCCGTATAGCCCCTCTTCTACACGAAGCCCCCTTATAGTCGTTGTAGCCCCCTTATAGCCCCCTTATAGCCCCTCTCGAAGCGGCTGTTCCATGCGCTGACGGCCACTTCGAAGTCCATATCGGCCATGACACAGAAGCAATAGCAATCCAAGGCTCTGTCCTCAGGGTTAGTAGGGGTTCGGAGGGTTTACAGGGTCTCAAACTTCACCGCGGAACTCTGCAACCCTGAAAACAGCGTACTGACCAGCTTTCTGCACGCCTGATAATTGTGAAGCCGGCAGTTGCACTATGCTGCGCGTACACGAGGGACACACAGGCTAGCGCGACCCTGCTGACACCTCTGAATCGTAAACCCTAGGCCCTAAGTCCATAAACCCTAGAAACCCTAAACAATTAAACCCTAAGCAGCCATCTGCCGGGGCTTCCACACTCAAAGACTGGCTGGTTTTCAGCAGGGAATGAGGGAATGAGGGCCCTACAGAATCCCTTAAACGGAAAATATGGGGCCCGATATATATATATATATATGTATATATAATTCCTTAAAGGGAGTACATAGGGCCTAGACAATCCCTTAAAGGGTAATATATATATATATATACATGGCCCTCATTCCCTCATTCCCCACTAAGAACCAGGTCGAAGTCTACGGGCGAGCAGCCAAGCCCAGCAGAAGATTGGAGTGGATGAAGGATGTGGTGATGACGAGCGCGCTGGACCTTGTTAGGGAGTTTAGGGGGTTCAGGGTTTGGGGATTAGAGTTTTTTTGGCAAACTATGATACTACTGTATGATATTATGCTTCTAGCATTATAGTTTTATGTGTATTGTCGAACTTATCTTAACACTTTGTTTGCGATATTCTTACGTTGTTGGATGTTCTGTCTTTTTATGTTATAAAGTTATGAATTTGAAATGATAGTGTTACTTTACTCTTATGTTTACATCAGTGCCTTCTCAAAAATTAAGTGATCGTGTATTGCGATATCATTCTGTGATTACATTATATTTTCCAAAGGGTTCGATGATTATTGTAAAATCAGACCATGTTCTTTTTTGTTTTTGCTTAGGGTTCAGTTGGTCCCCTAGGGTCTGGGAGGGCTTTGACATTTGTTCTCTGGAACACCATGGCCTACATCGTGGCACATTGTCGCCCTTCCTGCAAGGCATTAAACCCCCCCCCCCCCCGCCCCCACCTAATCATTGGGGTTTAGTCGCCCAAAGCAGTAGGCAATAGGAGACCCGTGTGTACCAAGATTGAGCAGCCCGGTATCTTCGTGATAAACAGAAGAGCAAAGTACATCCAAGAATCAGGACACGTTGCCCCTTTGCATCTGGGTGCAGGGGCAGGTTTTTTGAGGGTGCACCCCAAGTAGTTCAGCTAAGCCCCAGCGAGTTTCCCACTGAAAAGCCCAAAGTGAGAATAGTCTGAAAGGGGGAAGAAGGGGAGGGTGGAGAAGGGGAGGGGGGGAGGGGGAGGGCGGGGGGCGAGGGGGGAGGGGGAGGGGGGACAACCAGAAGTCCAACAATCAGCACATCCAACCAGGAGGTGCCCGGCACTTGCTTGCTGCATGTGAGCGGCATCATGAAGACAACCGCCTGTCACATGCAGGTCAGAGGCATCGGGAGGAACTCCAAAGATATGGATCAGGGCCTTTTGGATTTGGGTCTTACGTCCAAAGCTTGCTTGTGCTTGCGTGTTCTTACGTTGGGGGGAGAAAGACAAGGCCACCCGGTTCTTCCGCGTGCCTGCGCCCGGGCGCCTTGGCGCGTTCCAGCGCTCGCGCAAACGTCAAGAGGTGTCCTAAACCCTAAACCCTAAACCCGAAACCCTAAACCCGAAACCCTAAACCCTCAACCCTAATTCTGGGCTGTTGGATGGGTTGGCTCCAAACAGATGGCCCTCCGTTACTTCGGTATTGTAGAGAACCCACAGAATCGCTCCCCTTAAGGGGTATAAGGAGGTACCCCTAGAAGGGACCCTTATCTTATTCCCCTGTATATACTTTATAAGGGTCCCTTTGTACCTGAATAGCCCTTACTGACCTCTACGGTCCCTTATAACGGTCCCTCCTTTAGTCCCTTGATCCCCAGAGAACCCCGCAAGGAACTGCATCCCTGGTCCCAAGGATGGGTTTAGGGTTCTAGGGTTTTAGGGTTTTAGGGTTTAGGGTTTAGGGTTTAGGGTTTAGAGTTTAGGGTTTAGAGTTTAGGTTTAGGGTTTAGCGTTTAGGCTTTAGGGCTTAGGGTTTAGGGTTTAGGGGCTCGGGGCAAAGCCATCCTGGTGGTCCCCAAACTGCGGAACATCTCACGAGTGCCGACCCGCAGATGTTCCAAAAAAACCACAGCGACTTAGGGTTTAGGGTTTAGGGTTTAGGGTTTAGGGCTTAGGGTTTAGGGTTTAGGGTTTAGGGTTTAGGGTTTCGGGTTTAGGGTTGAGGGTCACTATGTCAAAAGTTGGGAGGCTTGTGTTGTACTCTCTGTCTCTCTCTTTCTTTCACTTCCATGCCTGTTCAGGGTATTGGGCTCTAGGTTTCTACATCCTACCGAGACCAGATTTGAGAGACTTCAGGGTCTTAGTGTATCTGGACTAACCTTTGTGTCCTTAGACAACGGGAAGTGCACCTGATTTATTGGTATGCTTACCCTTTACTAGCCCAGTAACCATATTCTAATAAGGGCACCCTTTTTGGGGTTGGTTACTTCAAACGGAAACCTAGAAGCAAAAAACGGCAAAAGGGCACCACTGGGCTAATTACCAAGTAAAAGTACAAGGTTACTCTCTAAGAAGAATTCACCCTACCCCAAACCCATACCCCCCTAACTAATAAAGGAGAAGATAAGTAAGTCTAGGGGAGGATTTTACCATACCCCCCCCCCCCCCCCCAAAAAAAAAAATCTTTTAAGGGTATGCCCTAAACCCGCAACCCTAAACCCTAAACCCTGCATATTTCTTAGTTACTGGCACTGGGAAGGCCACACCAAGTCCCGCCTCCACTGCTGCCAGAGATATCGAGGCAACGTACTTGGGCCATGGGAGCTCCTCCAGTCCTGACAAAGGCCCAGACCCTCAACCCTAAACCCTAAACCCTAAGCCCTAAACCCTAAACCCTAAACCCTAGGTATCTGCGCTGCCTTGAACCATTAAGGATTCTGCGCCGGGAGCTCTAGCTCCTGAAGCGTTCTTGCAACTAAGCCCCTTTCAGGGGAGAGGCTTCACTAGGATGGCCCTTTCAGGGTCTAGGGTTTAGGGTTTAGGGTTTAGGGTTAGGGTTTAGAATATGATCCTCTCAAACCCAATAAGGGAAACTCTGAAATGTCCTAAGGGCCTACCTAGTCCAGCAACCTTAGACTCAAAAATCCAAAGCACTCAACGCCAACAGGCTGGCGACTAGGGTTCTAAGGCATGGGGGCTTTCGCGACTTGGGTATTTCTGCTGCGTTTGGGGTTTAGGGTTTAGGGTTTAGGGTTTAGGGTTTAGGGTTTAGGGTTTAGGGTTTAGGGTTTAGGGTTTAGGGTTTAGGGTTTGGGGTTTAGGGTTTAGGGTTGGGTTTTAGGGTTTAGGGTTCAGGGGTTAGGGGTTAGGTTTAGGGTTTAGGGTTTAGGGTTTAGGGTTTAGGGTTTAGGGTTTAGGGTTTAGGGTTTAGGGTTTAGGGTTTAGGGTTTAGGGTTTAGGGTTTAGGCTCGGGAGCCTTCATGGTTTTGAGTCAGGGCTGAGTGACTGAATGCCAGAAGCTCTGCTGCGCTTCATAGCACAGATGAAACTCTCCTTGATACGAGAAGGGTTTAGGGTTTAGGGTTTAGGGTTTAGGGTTTAGGGTTTAGGGTTTAGGGTTTAGGGTTTAGGGTTTAGGGTTTAGGGTTTAGGGTTTAGGGTTTAGGGTTTAGGGTTTAGGGTTTAGGGTGGTACTTGCACTACGAGACAAAGAAGTCTGTGTTCGTGTGAGGCGCTCCCTTCTAAAGACATGACATTGTGTTGCAAATCCTGTTTTTCTTGCTGGTACAGAAAAGACTCACCCTCACTCTCTTCAAACGGAACCCCCCCCTTGTTGAGGATTTTCACGAAAGGACCGCAATATTATATATGGTTATATGTGTGTATCCAGACACATAAATACATGTGTATATATATATATACATATCCGTATATATATATATATATACGCACACACACTCACACATATACGCGCATCTTGGCCGTGTCTTCATCTTGAATCTCGTTGTGATCTTAGCGGAAGCTCCCTGTGGACTCCTCAGCGATAGTGCCTCAACCCCAACGTCGGAAACCACACAAGCGAAAGACCCCCCACCCCACAACAGACATCAACAAATTGCGACTTTCTGTTCCCCGGCACAATCCGCAACCCGAACCCTATAAACCCCAATTATATGCTTTGCGGTCCGACAACCACACAAGACACGCTGAATCCGTCCTGTCTTCCACACCTGCTTCCAAGTGTGGGAGGGCAAAGTATTCTCTTCGCACGGGCGGTTCAGGGTGTTGGATCTCGTGCAACCCAAAACCCTAAACCGGAATACCAGGTCGGGTGGTTGAGGGCTTCGGGCTGGACCCTTGGACCGCAGGCAAGAGGCTCCTCTAGGAGGGCTCACATAGGATGCCTGTTAAGCGTTTAGTTTGATGTTCATAAGGGGAGGGAGAGGGAGAGAGCGAGGGAGAGAGAGAGAGAGAGAAAGAGGGAGAGCGAGAGAGAGAGAGAGAGAGCGAGAGACAGAGACAGAGACGGAGACAGAGACAGAGACAGAGACAGAGACAGAGACAGAGAAACAGAAAGACAAAGAGAAAGAAAGAGAGAGAGAGAGAGAGATAAAAATCAAAAATAGGAAAAAAAGAGAGGGGGGCCGAGGCAGAGGTGGCAGCGACACCCGCGCATTCCGCGTCACTTTGCGACGGCCAGTGTGTGGAGATGTTGATATGGGTGGTTGTCAAAATTGTGGTACCTTTTTGGGGTTCCTAAATATTAGGCGGCGCCGCATTATAATAAGGATCCAAAAAGGGACCATACTTTTGGCAACCGCCCATATTATTAAGGGCCGCTTGTGTTTCCTGAACGTTGATTCTCCAGGAATAAACCCTGAACCCTAAACCCTAAACCCTACACCCTAAACCCTACACCCTAAACCCTAAACCCTAAACCCTAAAACCGGTGCATCGCCCGAATCGAGTGTCGAAGAGGAGCCCAAGGTGCAACCATGCAAACAACACAGAACACCCCAGAGAAGTGGCTCTACGAAAGCAAAAACATCGCTCTACCTACAGCAGTCCTTCACCCCAGCATGCCTAAGATGGCCCTGAAAGCCTAAACCCTAAAACCCTAGACCCTTAACCCTAAAAGGCCCCCCCTAAACCCTAAACCCTAAAAGGGCCCCTAAACACTACATCCGACAAGGGCTTCTAAACCCAAACCCGAAAAAGTGGCTCTAAACACCCCAAACCCTAAACCCTATAAACCCCCCCCCCCCCCCAAACTCAAGCCGGCAAGAAGCCTCGCGTCCCTGCAGACCCGAATACAGCGCGGTCACCAGAATCCAGGCCGCAACCTTGGCTCAAGGCTTAGGAGGCTTAGGAGGCTTAGGAGGCTTGGGAGGCTTAGGGGGCTTAGGAGGCTTAGGAGGCTGAGGAGGCTTAGGAGGCTTAGGAGGCTTAGGAGGCTTAGGGGGCTTAGGGGGCTTAGGGGGCTTAGGAGGCTTAGGAGGCTTAGGACTTAGGAGGTTTAGGGTTTCGGGTTTAGGGTGCAGTCAACCCTCATCTATGTTGGGGTTTCGAGTGCTAAGTAGAGAATGAGCCCAAGGTTGAAGATCTCGCGATCCTAAGCCTTGAACCAAAAACCACCAAAACCTAAAGAGTAGGGTTTGGCGTATTGGGTGGCCCCAAACCCTGAACCCGAAACCCTAAATCCTAAGCCCCTTCGGGTGGCAGGCACCTCCATTTCGGGCTTTGGGTTTAGGATTCAGGGTTGAGGTCGCAAGCTTTAAACCTCCAGCCCTGGACCCTTTAGGGTTTGGTGGCGGGCAGTTGAAAGCGCATGAGGCTTTCGGATAGCAGACTTCAAGGACTCAGGGTCTAAAGGGTTGTGGGGCTTAGGGTTCAGGGCTTTGGGTTTAGCGATGCAGGATCATGAAGAATGGGATCTGCGCATGATGTATGAAGCCCCAAAACTTCTTAAGAGTTTTGCGTGTCTAACCTGTCACAAGCCCATAAGCCTATAGCCCTATGACCCTGCAGCTCTTACCCTAGAACCCTAAACCCTGCAACCCTAAACCATAGCCCCTACAACTATAACTCTAAAGCACTGCAAGCAGGAACCATACCCCGAGTTGAGAACAGGGCCCATCATTAAAGGAATCAGGGGTTCTTCTAATGGTCATGGGATGAGGGAATCCTTAGGAAGGGAAGTGTTTCACGCGGACCCCCCCCCCCCCTCAACATCCCCCTCGTCCCTCTGTCCCCTTGCCCCGCCCACCCGGAGCTGGGTTGTCCTTTTTGCTACTCCCACATTTGGGGTGCCAAGTCTATATACATGAGCCTGCGTGTTACGACAGGATCCGCAAAGGGTCCGCAAAGGGGAATGATTGCACGAAGCCTCCCAGCGCCCTGAAGCCTAACAGCAACCTCACACGCGCGCGATCTTAGGTTTGGGTTGCCTCGCCGCTGGGCGGGCCAAGCCTGAGGCGGGTCGTGCAGCGCAAAAATTAAAGCACCCCTATCCCTCATAGAATTCCCACTTACTAGCACATGCCCCCAATGGGCTTTGGTTCATACTACCGGGGGGGAAGTTGGCCTTTCATATCAGGGGGTGGAGGGGAGTAATCTTCGCGGCAAGTACCTGTCTCGCAAACCTCAAGCCGCAACCGCGCTTTCGCTGCGCACCAAGGCGCGCAAACTCTGAACTCCTGACAGGGGCTATTCACGCAGCTACCCAGACTGTCCATGAAGAGGGGAATGAGATACCCGAATACCCCTTTTAGTCTGGGCCTCTGGGCACCTGAAGTAATTCTACCTCTGACCCTCTGGGCTAGTGTTGGGACGGGAGGGTTCTTAAGCATTTAGTAGTTACCGTTACACCTTAGATGGCCCACTGAAACTCCTGGAAAACCCTACCAAACCCCAAACCCTGGGACTCTTGGTGCCCAGCCTTCGGATGAAGGACTTAAGGGTTGGGGGGTTTGGGGCTTAGGTTTCTCTTGGGCTTTTTGGGTTCCTAACCCCCAAACCCCGAACCCAAAACCTGTACGCTCCGGGATTTAGGGTGTCAGGCTTGGGGCGTCTTTGGGATCTCTTCAGATTTTTTCTGGGCCCTGTCTAGAGCAACCTTATACCTGGAAGAAGAGGGGTGGTGTATGTATGTATTTGGCATATGCAACTGCAAATCTATACCCATATGGTATACACTTTCTACATTAACAAAGATATACATATATATGTATATATACCATAGCAAGGATGTTCACTTTTTAAACTATACATTCCTGAGGTTAAGCTTATGGTATTGTTGACACAACCCTGAACCCTAAACCCTAAACCCCAAACCCCAAACCCTAAATGCAGAGCTCCCACTCCCGAGCCTTTCGAGACGCAGTCGACCATTCCAGCTTCAGGTCGAACACGAACCTCGGCGCGGTCTAGCTAGGGGGGTTTAGGGTCCTGGGTTTAGGGAAACCCTCAACCCTCCTGGGTCCTAAGCCGTTTGGGGAAACCCCGAAACCCTCCCAGGTCCTAAGCCGGTCTGCCTGAAGCTTGGAACCCTCAACCCGCACCTGAGTGGGCCATCTTGCGGCAAAGTCTCTGGTCGAGCTTGCCTCAGGCAGACAAAGAGCTGGGGCGGCTTTGAGATGTTCCCCCTTTATACTAACAGTCCTCCATAGGGATTTTTTTTAGGGGTACTACAATCCCAATGAAGGACTCTTAGTATATGGGGGAACAAGGCATGGTGCGACCTGGTGCTTCAGGTTGTGCATTCGTATGCCTTGGAAGGCATCCTGAACCCTGTTCAGCTAAAGCAGGGGGCTCAATGCTCAAGGAACGAACTCCCGGTGCACATCCTTCGTGAAGGCCTGGGAGTTTTGGGGTTTCGGGAATCAGGGTCCCTCAGGCGCTATACCGGGGGGGGATACAGGGCACCCATGTAGTTCCCACATTTCCTGCTCAACAAAAAACGAGTAAGACTCTGCCGAGCACTCGAGGCCCTTCTTATGGCCAAAGGCAGACCAGGTCGCAAAGGGCAGCAAGCAGCGTCTGGGAACTCAGAGCCTTCTTGAGCAGATATGCACATCGAACTCCAGTCACACCTCAGCTTTCAGGCTCTGGACTTTTGACGATTATAGGGGTTAGAGTATCGAGCTTGGCTTCTCTGGCCCGAGTAGCTAGTTAGATGAAAAATAACCAAGCAGCATGAACAACATTGACGAGCTAATCTTGGGATGTTCGCCCTTACATTCCTTAGTAGGGATGATTTTAGGGGGTACGATCATCCCCTTTTTTTGAGGACTGTTCGCACAAAGGGGAGCATCCCCAAGTTAAGATAGTCACATTCAGGACCTTGGTCCTGCATCTGGAGGGTTGGGGGTAAATCCGCAGCGACTCACAGTCTGCAAGTTCGTCACCCTCCAACTGTCTGAAGAGTGCCGACTCAAGGGGCTCTCTCTTCCCCCTTAGAAGTAGACTCCCTGCAATCCACTAATGTTCTTGTAAGAGTAGATATACATTCGGCTGGAATAACTCTCTGCTAACCAAGCTAGATGATTCGTGGACTTCCTGGACCTTGTGCACCTAAACTGTTTGCCTGAGATCGCGAACCCTGACCAGCTAGGGGTGCAGGGCTGTAGGCCTGAGTCAATAAGGGCTTAGGGAGGCAACCAAAACCCCGTCAAGATTTCGGGCAAGGCTCTTGCCAGGAAGCTTGCTAGGTGCATGAAAACAGCGCCAGTGCCTGGGGTTTAGGGTTTAGGGTTTAGGGTTTAGGGTTTAGGGTTTAGGGTTTAGGGTTTAGGGTTTAGGGTTTAGGGTTTAGGGTTTAGGGTTTAGGGTTTAGGGTTTAGGGTTTAGGGGTTAGGGGTTAGGGGTTAGGGTTTAGGGTTTAGGGTTTGGTACGTAAGGGGCCTTCTGGGATGATAGGGTGTACGGTTTAGGGCCAAAGGCTTGAGGCCTCCCTGAAACCCCAGCCCTAAACCCTAACTGTCCGATCTTTGGCCCTAAACCAGGAAGAGGGTGAAGACATCACATCGCGTTTGGGCATTTGCCGTCGTCCTCAAGTATAGAACCTGCAAAATCGAAAAAACCATACAATCCCTATAAACAACCAAAACCCTACACCAAAAAGTCCTATATATAATATAATATAATAATATATATATATATATATATATAATGAACCCTAATCCCTAACATCCAAATATCTAACCTAAGAGTAAACCCTAAACCCTAAACCCCAAACCCTAAAACATAAGCCCCAGGGAAGTGCAAGCGCTTGGGACGCTCTTGCCGGGGTTGATGTGAAGATCCTGCGTGTTGGTTTCAATCTGCAGTTTAGGAGGAATTCTGATGGCAAGGCTTGTACAATTGATCCTCAACCTACACAGTGGGCTTACCTGTGCTAACGACTGCCCCCTACACCCAGAACGCACTGAAACAAATACTGTCGGGGCCTGAATAATTATAATAGAGTTTTTTTTGTTTTTTTTTTGGGGGGGGGGGGGGGGGGTGGTTATGTTAGTGTATTTGTAAAGGGACCATGAGGGAATAATACTTAATATTCATAATTGTTCCGACCCCTCTAGTACATACCCTGAATGCCCGAACAGCTGAAGCCTAAACCCTAAACCCTAAACCCTGAACCCTAAACCCTAAACCCCTAAACCCCTAAATCCTGAGCCCTACATTGCCATGCTTGGCGTGCACGGGCGCAGGAAAATGTCACCAGCTCAGTAGCTCAGATCCCAGTAGCCGGATTTGGTAACAGACCCTAAACCCTAAACCCTAAACCCCAAACCCCAAACCCCAAACCCCAAACCCTAAACCCTAAACCTGGCGACGTCCCAAACCCCACGTCCGCTCATGGGATTCCGCCCAGGCTCGCGGCGGTATTCCCAAAATGCTGAGCGTCACGAATCCTCCGAGTTGAAGCGCCACCTGGGGCAGTTTAGGGTTTAGGGTTTAGGGTTTCGGGTTTAGGGTTTCGGGTTTAGGGTTTAGGGTTTAGGGTTTCGGATTTAGCGTTTAGTACAAGCATAATGGATATGTCGTAGGCATACTCAGATAGGGGGCTATACAGGGATGATCTTGGCAACTTGTCTCAGGCTTCTGCGTTGCAGTTCAGGGTTTGGCAGGATTATGGCTTTCGAGCTCATATTCATCCCATGGAAACTACTCTTTGCTCAAGAACACCACACAAAAAATGAATATTCTTCCTTACAAGGGCAATACAGGGACTGCTATCTTTACTTTCGGGTTTCTGAAACAAATACTAGGAAACCATAGCATGTGGAGTAGGAAACCATAGCATGTGGCTGCACCCTCAATTCCTACCCTAAGGGGGTTTAGGGTTTAGGATTCCATCCGCTTCCGCACGCCCTTCGTGTTTGGGGGGCTCAACCATGAAAAAGTCTCAGGCCAACAACGCCATGAGAATGTAGGGTTTGAGGTCAGCCTCAAACATGAACCCAAAATGCTGTGCGCTTCCATGGCGTATGAGGTCCACATGTGCTACTCGACCTACGCCGCGGCAGAAGGGGCATTGTGGAAGGCACTTTAATGCAGAACTCCGTTCTTTCACATCTTGACCCCCTCTCGGCGTAGTGCACCCCAAAACCTAAACACCACGAGCCCCAACCCTACAGACCCTAAGCCTTACATCTTTCATGCTCGACCCGATAAGTCCCAAACCTTAAGTCCTTCACGCCACAAGCCCCACAGATAGGTCCCGAGAGGAGCGCCATAGACCAAAATATCCCCTTGGTTGAGCACGAGCCCAAAACCCTAAAAACCCAATCCCTGCACCCTGAAGCCATTCCTCAAATGAAAGGTTTTTGGACTTCCTGGGTTCCCCACGGTCAACCAAACCCTAACCCTAAACCCTAAACCCTAAACCCTAAACCCTAAACCCTAAACCCTAAACCCTAAACCCTAAACCCTAAACCCTAAACCCTAAACCCTAACCAGCCGAGGCGCTAAACATACGATCAACACAAGGATGCACATGGGCATCTGCTGGAGGAGCACAGAACCTTGGTCAAGGCGGCTTCGGGGTTTAGGGTTGAGGGTTTAGGGTTAGGGTTTAGGGTTTAGGGTTTGGGGTTTGGGGTTTGGGGTTTGGGGTTTGGGGTTTGGGGTTTGGGGTTTGGGGTTTGGGGTTTGGGGTTTGGGGTTTGGGGTTTAGGGTTTAGGGTGGGCTAATGCCCCGTGTCGCAGGTCGTACGCCTGAGAACAGGAGCACGCAACTGAAGACGATCCTGAAAGGGACTGCCCATGCCGAATATTCCATGCGGGGTCATTGAACAAGCACTTTCCGGGACACTCTTCTTATCCAAGCAGTTGTCACGCTAGTCAACAAGATAAGCATATTACTAGTATTATTATTATCGTTCTCATTCGGTTAGTCTTGTTATTGTTATAACTGTTACAATTCTGACGATAATTATATATGTAAAAGAAAAGTGCTTGTCTACATTATGGTCCCTGCTGGGGGGGTACGGTTACAGGCCGGCGGCGGCCCCGCCCCCAAAAACTAGAGTACCCAAAAAAGGACCATACGTTTGAGCAGCTGACCACCTTATGTAAACGTGGCACAGGGAGTCGGCAAAACGGGGCATACGGAACGGTCACCACAGGCCCCTTGGCCCGCTCCTGATGACAGGGACCCTGCGGACCCTGTGTCTAGTATCCATATGGCAGCTACTGAAATAACTCTTCCCACTTTTGAGTACCCCAAATATGCCGGCCCGCCTTAGAATAGTAACCCCAAAAGGAACAAGAGTTTAGAGAAGTAACAAACTGGTAGTAACGAACTATTCACAAAAAGTACATCTTTCCTTTCTAAACCATGGGACCTAGGATGACCTAGGAACCCTGAATAGCCTCCCAAGAATGACCTTCAGGTCAACCGCCACATAACAAGAGTGGCAGAGCAAAGACCAGAAGCAAGGAGTCTGAGACATGCTCAGCTATGTACGAAGTATTGCTGGAGCAGACTCAGCCGGCAACTTCCCTAAACCCTAAGTCCTAAACCCTAACCCTAAATCCTAAACCATAAACCCTAAACCCTAATGACGGGTAGCCTGTGTCCAGGAGCGGACTCGCGACTTCAACTTCAGCAGCAAGCTCATCCTTGGAAGGCTGCGCATCAGTTGCTGTTCGCATTCGTTGATGCTCATCTTCTGTTTGTGGCGTTTCGTGGCTTCCCTTCTCTTTCGCACACGCATCTACATAGTCTGGGCCTTGAAATCAATCGGCTCTAACTAGGATCTCCGTTTTTCCAGACCTATCGATGCGGAGTCGGGAACCTTAAACCACATCTTTAATTGTTCGCCAGAGATCAACAGCCTTGACATTGCTTTGTGTCTGGTAATGTTTTGACTGCACTGCCTGCTTGGGGGGGTGGGGGAGGGGGCGATACTTTGAGCTCTCCCCCAACAACGGAACATGCTGATGTTGTTGGCCCACACGCAAAATCACGCAAAGCCATGGCTTTCTTTGATCATGAGGCCCTTGACCCTAACTCCAGAGGGGGTGGGTGAAGCCATTGTCAAGTGCCGTTCGGATGTGCCAACGTGTGCTAGGACACCGGTACACCAAAGGTTCTTTTGGCAGGGAATTAGGGACTTCTCGTCCCTCTGTGGTCCCTTATGAGGCTTGTATAGGGGGACAGAAGTACCTACTTCCCTCGCCCGAATTCCCGAATAAGAACTGGTAAGGCAACTTAGGGTTGGGCAGCAGGTTGAAAGCCCGTCGCGGTTAGGGCTTTGAGCGTGTTACATCGACCTAGAATGACCTAATTGAGAGAGTCCAAGGATTCCTAAGCCCCTTCTTGGAAGTGAAAAGGACTCTAAACCCTAAACCCTAACCCCTACACCCTAAACCTTAAATCCTAAATCCTAACCCTAAATAACCTTCAAAAAGGAACCACCGGATTTCTTCTTGGAACACCCGCCCATGTCTAGCTATGAAAGGGCCCTTCTTGCGGCAGTCTGCCCCGGTGGCAGAGAGGATCTGTGTCACGGACTTCTTCTGTAAGGACCTTAGGTCTGGGTGTAGGGCTTACATGGGTTTAGGGTTTAGGGTTTAGGGTTTAGGGTTTAGGGTTTAGGGTTTAGGGTTTAGGGTTTAGGGTTTAGGGTCAAGGGGTTTGGGGTTTAGGTTTCAGGGTTTGGGATGAGGGGTCGAAGGGCTTGGGGCTTAGGCGTTGAGCACCCGAGGCTGGATCAGAAGGTGTGGAATTCAAGAACGTGGAACCGGACGTAGGGATCGACTTCGGATTCGGTATCATGAGTTTAGGGTTTAGGGTTTCAATATTTGGGCAGGTATGGGTTCAAATTGAAGAAACGCTTTCAGGTTTCAAGCTGCGATGCTCTCTTGCTGCAACGTGCAGGCTCTAAGTTACTAAGGCTGAGCGCAGGGTTTGCTTTGTGGATTTGGGTATTCCCTTTCGGTCTAAGCACGTGCGCGAAATTGAATTTCCTGTCTTTGTTAGAGGGTTCTTAAGGTAACCCAAGGTTCCCTAATACTCCGTACTACTCCCCTAAGGCTCCCTAAGCTTCCCTAAGGCTCCCGAGGCTTTGGGTGTGCTTCCACTCCCTCCCACTCATATGCTTTTTACAGTCATACATAAGATTACATAAGTTACAGAAGGGTCTGTTGAGGGAACTGCGTGATTGCTATGATCACTTTGGGGTCTAGTTGTAGTTATAGATTCTCCGAACTGGTGTACACGCGGAACCTTTAAAACCGAAACCTCAAACCCAGAAGCCCAAACAGCCCTGACCCTACGGCAACTAACTCCCTCGACGATGCGCTTTTCATCGAAGAAAGCAGAACCCCTCCAGACCCCAAACCCGAACCCTAAACCCTAACATAAGCACGAAACCCTTTGCAGGTCTTGAAGCCCCCGAACAAGTGGTAGGGCTGCCTGCTCAGAGTATAGGGCTCATGGTTCAGGGTAGTTCCTGACTCTATGCAAAACATTCCTGAGCAGGCCCCTCTCAAGGCCATCATCATCATCATCATCATCATCACCATCATCATCATCATCACCGAACCCCGGAATTTGAATCCTGGGTCGCGTCATGGCTCTTGGGAAGAAAACTCCTGGAGGGCCAAGATGGTCACAAAGACAGCCTTGACGCCGAAAGTGCCCTGTAGAAGGAACCCTAAGCCCTAAGCCCTAAGCCCTAAGCCCTAAGCCCTAAGCCCTAAACCCTAAACCTTAAACCCGCCGTCCCAGCCACACCAGGGTGACCGCATCCCTGTTTCTCGGCGACGTTGGGGCGTCCAAGAATGATGTGCCTGGGGAGGCCCATCTTCCCAAAACTCTCGGCGGGTTTGGGTTGCCACTTGGGTTTAGAAGCTTCGAGTTCAGGGTTTACCTAAGGGCTCCTATGTAGTACTTTTTTTTTTTTTTTTTTGGGGGGGGGGGGGGGGTAGTATACTAGAACCCCCTATAAGTAACCCAGAAAGGAACTACATTAGAGACTTCAGGTAGAAGTTTAGGGCTAGGGTTGGGCTTTGAGTTGCAGGACAAGACGACTTTTCTGGGCCTCCGCGTGATGGGGCTCTCATTGACCGGTTGATCCCTTGACCCTCAACCCTACACGAAGTGCAAATGTCGGGCGTTTAGAGCGTAAAGCCCGCATCCGACAAGGGCTGCCGGGGTGGAACTGTTGATGTCCCCCCGTCGGTAACGCCACATTGCAGCCTAGCCAGTAAACACCAGCAGGCCCCTAGTACTGACCCCTCTCCTCAAAACAGGCTTCTAAACTGTCTGAGGGCAAAGTCACTTCTTTAGATGTTCAGTTTCGGGCTATGAAGTTTTCAAGTCATGTCAGCGAAAACCATTCAGAATGCCCGGCGTTGCACGGGGGAATTTTTGAAACGTAGGCTACAGTCCAGCTTGAGATGTTGCGCCCACAGAAATACTGCATAAAGCAAGATGAAGTCTACAGGGGGAAGGATTCGAGTTTAGGGTTAAGGGTTTCGGAACACGAAGCTCTAAACCCTGACTTCCCCAGGCCCCTTCAAGGTAAAAAGGACCTGCCCGGCTGTCTGGATTTCCGCTCCGTGTTTTTGTGCATGTAGGTGCCCCCTACATGTTCCCGCAGATGCCAAAAGGATTAAAGACCTACTAAATAGTTATAAGTACGGTTATATAGAAGTACAGTTAAAATTGGTTGATAAGTACCATGAACCTCCAAGTACTAAACTGTTTATGAGTAAGGATATCTCTAAAGGCAAGCTGCTATGTCCATGAGTCTTGCTGCTGACCCGTAGCCATGAAAGAACCCGACAGGTGGTTGACGGTGTCTTACCATAGTCATGCGGACACACGAGAGCAAATCCCTGAAATGCACAAAGCCAAGAAAGCGCAAAACCGAATCACCAGATCAAGTTGAGCAGCATCACTAGACAGACATGATTGGGCCAGATCAGCGCTTTCAACTCTCAAGCATATACAATCTTCTCCAGCCTTCTCAAACTGTATGAAGGAAAAATCTCAAGTACTCCCATCCTGCCCAAGAAACAACAGCTGCGTCTAGGCACGTCTCTGGGGGCTTGCTCGCATCTCGGGAGAAGGTACCGACACGGACGCGGATGCCCGGCCTGCGCTTGGCACCAAGCACCGCTTAGCTTGAAGGGTTTAGGGTTTCGTGTTTAGGGTTATTAAAAGGATTGGGATGATTCGAAAATTTTGTGCGCAGGGATACATTCAGGCGCTGGATTTGGACAGAAACCGTGTTGGTCAAGGGTATTTGAAGGGAAAGGGTTTCAGTTCCTCAATGGAGACGGCGCAATCTGGCGCAATGCGACCCTCAACCCTGGCATGCTTGCGTGCTCCATGGCCACTCACTTCTCAGCGCGCCGGAGAGGGAAATATCTTGCAATGTACTTAAGAGGGTCCAGCGGGGGGGACGATAGGAAACCTAGCAATCCCAATGCTCCCCTGAAATTCTCGGTACCACTCCGCCAATCCCCAGGAAGAGTCCGAATCTACATACCCCTTTAGGCCATACATTCTGAAAACAGCAGGCTCGGAAGAAGCTGCACCTTGCGTAGAGGAGTCCGGAGGAAGTTTCGGCGCTGTGCGTTCGGAACCTTGAGGCTTGGCTTTGGGGGGCTGATTGCAGGGCTTAGGAAAGTTTAGGGATTGCAAACTTAGGTTTACTTTAAGTTCTAGATGTGCGAATATAAAGAGAAAGGGTATGCGTGTGTAAGTATATACATATTCGTATGTGTACATATATATATATATAATACATGTTTATATATCTGTAGATCACGCTCTCTTACAAACAAAATGTGCCTGAAACACATCCTTACGCGAAACGCGCCAGACGTCACACTTCTGACAGGTAACAAAGCCGAAAGTTCAAGCAGACATGATTCCTACTTCGTGTACTTGTCCGTCTTTGGGTGGTCTTGGATAGGGGGGGTGGGCGTGGTAACTGCCGTATGCAAAAAGAATAATAATGAATGCTATTTCTTCATGCATGCACAGATTCGCCTGCGCATATACAGGTCTTTAACCAGATACACAACTAGGCTGCCCAGTAACCTGGGATTAAAAAGGGTGCCCTTTTTTGCTTAAAGGGGTTTATAAGGGAACCTAAACCCCCCAAAAAGGGAGTAAGGGTACTACTAGGCATCCTAGACATGATGCCAAGGCCCGCCATCCACACAGCCCCCACCCACCTGCCACCCGACCGTACTGCCAAAGAACAGAATCAACCGATGCAAAACCCAACAGTGCAGCCAAACTGTGTCTCTCTCTCTCTCTCTCGCCTCTTCCCTTGCACGCTCCCCGCTTGGCTTTTGTTCCCTCGCACGCGTGCTCAGATGCTGCGCGTTTCTTCCGCTGATCATGTGGTGCCGCTTCGATTGGCTTGTTCAGGTTCGATCGGGGTGGTCCCGGGACCGGGGTTCTGAGTTGTGTCCGGTCTTATTTCCATGTTGTTGTGGTGTTAATGCCACTGGCTGGGTTGCTAACTGCATTGTGTTGAGGTTGTGTCTTGTTTGTGTGCGCGTGGCTTTCTTCGGCAATGTGTTGTTCTGGCTTTCACGCCGTTTGGCCTGAGAACTCTTGGTTTGTACCGCCACGCTTCAGGCTTTAGGGTTTAGGGGTGAGGGGTTCAAGCAACATTCACCAACGCATCAAAAAGACAGAACTAGCCCAAACATGATCGGCCTCTCGAGACGAAAATGTCAATCAAACCGGCAACATCCTGCTGCCACAGTAATCGGGAGAGCTACCCTAAACTGAAGCCTAAACCCTAGAATGTGCATGATCCGCCCCTGGTCTAACTCACTCCCAAGGATAGAAAGGTTGCTCTAGGTAATCCATAAGCAGACCCTCCTTTACAACGAGGCAGCGCGGGACTTTGCGGCCCGGACTTGCGAACTGCCCCGGAGTTTGGCACGCCCCCAAACTGGCTGTAAGCTAGCCTGGCCGTATCTTGTATTCCAAAGGCCTCCGTCGCCAACCGGGTCTACGACTTCGGACCTGTACCTTGAAGACGGAAATGTCCTTTCTGAGAGCCGAGATGCTGGAATGACATGCTCCAAGTCCACCAGTGAGTGTCCCTTGTCGAAATCCTGTCCCAGGCTTGGCCCAAGTCCGGAAAAAGAGGGTTGCTTTTCAAGATCATGTTTGTCGCGTAAGTGTGGAGTTCTCGACAAAGGGGCTCTGCAGGACTTAAAATGGAGTTGACTTTGAAGGCCGAGCGAAAGCGCACAGTTTGGGGCTTACCTGCCTCTGGTAGGCTCGGCGCGCGAGATCTTGGCTTTGACCACGGGGCATTTACCTCAGAGAAGGTGCCCACAAATGGGGGCGGCATATAAGGATGGAACAATCCATAGTTGGAGGTTCCTGGGTAGCTTTAAGTAATGTTCCAAAGGGAAGTATGTTTATAACCAGCTATTTCCTGATTTAGGGTACTTTATAACCCTACTTATAACTACCCATGAACCTTCAAGTTGACAACATATACAAGATCCCAATAACATCATGATCATCCCTTTAGAATCGCCATAGAGTTGTACTCTAAATCGCCACACATACCCATTCAATAAGCCCTATACATTCGGCCTGTCTGATGGAGCTTCTGGTACTGTAGCTCTCCATCGACGGCTGTTCAACTTGTGAGGACGCACCCCCCCACCCCCCACCCCTCCCCCCGTCAACATCGGTGTAGGGCTAGCTCTAGTGCGTCTTTAGGGTTTAGGCGGTTTCGGGTTTACGTAGTTCTGAGCCATGAAGGTAGCTCTCTAAGTCAAGGTCCTTTTTTGGGGGGAGGGGGGGGGGCTCATAGCAGACCCACAGGAGGGCCTTTGATCAGAACCACTCATAAGCAAACATAAGTCAAGAAGCTGCTAAACTCTTCACCATCACATCTTCCATCTCAGCCACACCTCCGCAAGCATCGTCAACCGGCAGGGAAATGTTGCAGCGCAGCGGCCATGTGTCATTCTGAAGGCAGAACTGCACTTGGATGTTCAGGATTGATAAGGGTACAGGGCCCCTTCACCTAGTAGACGATGATGAAAGAAAGCATACGGTTGGCGGTTTTGTGGTTGGCTCCCTACTCTCGTGGTTGTAGTGTAGTAGTTCGAAAGAACCATAGTTCTCCCACGTATAACCCCCGCTTATATCTAAACCCTGAACTCTAACCCACACTTTCTTAGCATTCGTTTACTCTTATAAGGGGGGGGAGGGGGGGGGGGGGGCGGGGCAGTCCCTTGCAGTCCCAGCCTCTGGGACCGCAGTTTTATTTACATGAATGCCTATCTGGATGAGGATATTTAGGCGTTCTTTCTAGAAACCCCCCCCCCCCCAAACTGTAGGTGCCTAATCCTTTCTCGTTGGTTGAGAGTATTGAAGAGCAAGAAACTGAGGTGGGCGCCCAAATTAACCAACACACACACACACACACACACACAGACACGCACACGGAGATACATGCAAACACACGCACACACAAACACACACAGACAGATGAGCCAGAGACACACAGAAACACATACAGCGGCACGAGCGCACGCACGCACACAGACAGACACATCATTGCGCACCAGAAGTTCGCCACTCACCCCACTCTACCTAGACCCCCAGTTGTAGTTCCCGTTTCTCCCTCAACAGCGTGTCGGCACTATGGGACTCGAACGTGAAGGGCTAGGTCACCAGCGCCTGCGAAGGACGCGTGGGCTTTTGCCTAGGGGGCTAGCATGCTTTGGGTCTTAACCGTGCTCGCGTCTAGATTCGCGTGCCGTCGTGGCTTTCGACATACGAGTTTCGAAGTCCGACGTGACAAGCCGACTCTCACCTACATTGCCGTGTGCAGTCCGTGGTCCGAATCGTCTTTTTCGCGACGCAATCGGAATTCGTGGCAGGGATGCTTTTTTGCCGGCTTTCTGTTTCTCGGGCTCTTGGGCGGATTCGTTTCGTGCGTATCCTGTAGAAAGGCTATCAGGAGAGTGCATGTCGTGGCGGTCGAAGTCGCATTCCCTCCCCATGCTCGTCAAGTGCAGAACGGTCGTCGCTTTAGGGCCTTGGATCGTGCTCCTGTGAGTGATGGGGGGTATATAGGGGGGCACATAGGGGGTATATACGGCAATATCGGGGGCATATGGGGCAATATTGGGGGTATAAAGTAACGCTTGTCTTCTGCTGTCGTCGTGGCGTTGCCTTGTTGACTAGCCCTACTTCTGACTACCCATAAACATTCAAGCAGCCCCAAACCCCAAACCCCAAACTCTAAACCCGAAACCGCCTTCAAAAGCTTTCGCCAAGCCGCTTGGGACGCTGCCGCTTGGAAGCAGCAACGCTGCTGAAGGAATGGAGGCCTGGGACCTTAGCTCTCTCTCAACCCAAGCCGTTCTCGGGTTTAAGATCCCCAAACCGTATAACCCTAATCCCTAAACCCTACAATCCCTAAAACCCCTCAACCCCTAAACCCCACAATTGTACAGGGCTTCAGGAATTTTGGGGGGGTTTGAGGATTCTTAGGGTTTAGGGTTTAGAGTGTAATTAGGGGGTCTAGTCTTTACAAAGCCTCCTTGGCTTAAGCTGCCTAACAGGTGTTAGAGTTGAGGGCTCAGGGCAGGTTGTTTCATGCGAATGTGAGGATTAAACAGAAACACTGGAGCCAAGACCTTAAGCCAGTCAAGCCGGCCAGCAAGGGTGAAAATGGGTTGAGTCGGGAGGGGGGGGGAGCTTCAGAAGGCGCAGGAGCTGTCATGAAGCCGGAGCCCAGAATACTCGGAACAGCAACTTTACACCCTGAACCCTAGACCCTAAACCCTAAACCCTAAACCCTGAACCCTAAGCCCTAAGCCCTAAGCCCTAAACCTTCTTGGTCTCGACTCGCGCTGCACGCCTTGCCAAGAGGATCCTCTAACGTGGCAATCTTGGACGCCACACGCCCAGAAGGTCCATTAAGGGTTTTGGGTCAAGGTCCCTGTGGCAAATAGGTACCCGAAAGCTCAGAAGCCCTCTCTTGCATGGTTTCTGTTGACCTCAAATCCAGGGACCCTCAGGGGTCAGAAGGTGGGGTCAGAACGCCCTAAACC